ACTTAATGGACTGAATCCTTTGAGTTTCCGGTGCATGCCACTCCCAATTTTTTTGCTACTCACTTTGCATCTCACATTCGCTGCCAAACGCATTCTCTTGCATCTTTGGCATTTAAGTGACCCGTCATAATTCTTTTATTCCATTATACGTTCTTTTTTTTTGCATACAGGCCAAAATGTCCAACAACAATGGCTGGTCTTGTGCCTTTACTCGCGTCATTTATAATTGCTTTAGGGCCGCTAATAAATTATCAGTTATTTAATTTTGACATTTTTCATATTTTTCGGATTGGCGACTAAATCATTCTGTTTGGGTTTACTTGAATGGAATTAGTGGAAAATATACGCAGATACGGCTCACTGATTTTTGATGCTTTAAATGCATTTTCACTTTTCTTAAGTTTATTTTTAAGTTTAATTTATATACTTCTTCTAGCCGAGTTAACAACAACGCGCCACTCGTTTCTCCTCTTTGCAATGTGATACCAATTGAAGATTCCAAGCGAAGCCAGGTCCTTCTCCACCTAGTCCCTCCAACGGAGTGGAGATCTTCCTCTTCTCTGCTTCCTCCGGCGAGTACTGCATCGAAAACTTTCAGAGCTGGAAAGTTTTCGTCGGTTCACATGACAGCGTAGCCACTGTCTTCTAATTGTCAATGTCGTCGTATATCTAATACAGCTCATTGTTCCATCGTATGCGGTATTCGCCGTGACCAATGCGCAAGGGACCATAAATCTTCTGCAAAACCTTCCTCTCGAAAATTCCAAAGACCAACTCATCAGATGTTGTCATAGTCTACGCTTCTGCACGAGGATGGGAATAATGAGTGACTTATAGAGTTTGGTTTTTGTTCGTCGAGAGCGGACTTTACTTCTCAATTGCCTATCCAGAACGAAGTAGCTTCTCTTCCGTGGCTTTTTGTAATTTTTCATTGGAGACGTTTTTTACTTGTCGGGTTTCAAACTACGCACAACCCTTAATAAGGATAAAAGAATCGTTTATGGCCATCATGAACTTTCCTCACTTGCGTGAATATACTCGTATATAGGTTTTTTTACTGGATAGTATATGGCAAGTCACTATCTAATTTTTATCTGAATATCAATATATCTGAGTATTTAATATTAGTGGAAGTTTTTCTGCTACAGTCAGTAATACTTCTGAAGTCTCCTTCCATTAACTTTCTCAAGTCTCCCGAGTAAACAAAAGTTCTATCGAGATGAATTGAGGATTAATCGATAAAAGATTTTTTTAATTTTTAACACCACAACTACATATATAAACGCATCGATATCACCAAAGCTGTTCAGTCGCTATAGTTAGGAAGAAGTCAACTCATTTCCAACCATAAAACCACGAAGAATGGCTCCTCAACTTGGGATTGCATGCCGGCAGTTCACGGTGCCAATGTTTTCGTGAGTTTCGCCAAGATCTCTGGTAACCATTTAAACGCATTGCACAAATTATTTATTTATTGACTTGTCTAATAGCTAAAATAACAATTAACGTCGAACGGCAGCGGAAGTCCTTAAATTGCCGTCGAAAATGGCAATGCGCAACGAATGAAGGGTTACACGATTGGAAGGGTTGGCGTTCACCAAACAGTCAACAAAACACCTACAACAAACGACTCACACACAAAATAAAGACACCAAAGGTAGTCGTCGGCAGTGAAATATGAGCCAATATGCCGTCATGATAATTTGTTATGAGCGTGTATTATTATTTGTTTGTTTTCTGTTGGTTATGCTTGTACGGCTCAATATTACTTCTAGGACGAGCTTGTGAGGGCGTTGTTTATATTGTGTACGACATTTGTTTTGAGTTGTTTGTTTCTTTTATTCCGATTGTTGAGCCCACCGATTGATTTGCGTTGAACCCCTTCATGTGGTATACTGTAGTTAGCCATACATAAAATTGTCGTAGGTGCGAGTGAATATTGCGACACGTGAGCTGACTTTCACCTTTCGACTTGGACAGGAACGCAGCTAGTAAACGACGCGCTGCAAATGGTGTCACCTTGCCGGCTACATTTACACATGTCGCGCTATGCGGACTCGAAAGAGTTATGTAAATTCATATTTTTCTATTAGCGGCTGCCTCCATTCGATATTTTGACATTTTCGGGTTCAACGCCTCTGAACCTAAGTGTCTCAATTAGCATATCGCTAGCGTGGGAAGTGTGCCCTCACATCACCGTTTTTATACTGCCTTATTTATTGCCCCTTGCTGCATTATTGGGCTTTATTCAACCACGAAATTAGCCAGCGAGGTCATGTGAAAGTGCAAAATTTGATTTTGATTTGTTTAATGCTTTCAGCGCACAACAGCCCTTTATTTGGATTTTTACTATATATCATATTACTTTTACACTTTGATTTCGTTTATTGTTATGATATGCAAATCATGCGAGGCAATATTTAAATGGATGTTTTAATGTACTCATATGCATATCTAGCTCAATATGGCTGTGTGGCATGTGCAACACACGCGATGACTCCATTAAAGTCAACTGAGGAACACTTATTGTCATTTTTTCCTTTCTGAAATGAGTTGTGAGAGTTTTTTTCAGTGGGACATGGAAAGCTGGGAAAATTTTTGCGTGATAGTGGATACTGTGTGATGACAATGAATCACAGCCGTATTGACATTTCAATAGGATCTGAGCAACTGTGCAGTTCGAAGGTTTGTGGGTTGATATTGCAGAACATTTTGTACGGCTAAATAAAAGTTCAAGCTGTGCTCCAGCTCTATACGTGTGGGTTCGAAACATCAAAGCTGGTTAGAGAAGATTTTTTTTTATTCCTTTTATTTTACAAACTGCAATTTTCGTAAACAACTTTCGAGCAAAAATAATTAAAATGCCTAGTTTGGCCTTACTACAGTGGTATCATCAGTTGTTCGCTCACACTTTCCTTTCCATTCCATCTCCTATTTAATACACACTCATTTTTCATAACTTCACACTCTTTTTCACATCCACTTCCCTAAACATATCGCGCCTTTTGACTTAAAAAGTCCGTTCATCAGCGTTTTTTTCATTCATACATACTTTGATTTCTTTTTCTCCCGCTGTCATGCGTCTCTCTTTATTAGTTGATTCACTGCTTTACGACTTTATTTATATCGCAGTCATTGTGCCACTTACTGGATAGGAAATTACATACAATTTTATTATTTTATTATTGACAACAAATCGTCTTTATCGCCATTGACCTTTTCTCTACGCGCAGCATGGCAAACATTTTGTTGGTACATTATTTGTGTTTCGAAAACGGAAACAGCGCTGACCGGATGGCTTGACTGGACGTATGACAGTCAATGCTATTCTAAGTTAATACATTTTTTCTAGTTGCACATTCTTCTTTTGTATATGCGGATTATGTTTTGTATTGCTGACATGCGGAGGAAGTGATTCGGTAGTGATTTCGGCAGCTTACATGTTGCCGTACGTCCGTACACTTATGGACCATGCCTTCTATGATTCAATCATTGTTGCATGCCGCTTGTTTTCTTATTTAATTTCCTACAATATTGAATGGCATGGTGCTCAGTGATACAACAGCAACTTGAACTTTTGGCCGGAAATATTACGTATATCGGCAATCGAGCTGCGACAATTTTTTTAAGCAATTTTTTGCCTTTTGATGAGCTAACAGAACTACAAGGCTGCGTCGTAAAGTCCATGCTTTAATATGCTAATTTTTTTGGTCGAAGCTTCAGTAATTGCAATTTTGAGCGCCAATAGTCAATTTTCGCTTGCTTTTTTGGTACGAAGTTACGCCGTTGAAGAAACGTCAACAAACTTTTTTATTTTATTTATCCCCTCTAAGCATGCAAGATTGTTAGTCAACTGTAATTCTGTGGTTTAATTTACAAAGTAGAGCTTTAATTTAAGATTTCATGGCATTTTCCCAACACTTTGCATACGCGCTAATTGAAATCCATTAGTCGGGAAGTCATTTTTCAAAAATTATCGCTGACCACACCATTGGCGCTTCCCAGAGTAAGAAGTGTCCACGCAAACTGCCTTCTCATTGCGGTCAGCTAAAGTTCACTTACGAAATTCTCAATTTTTGCTGACGCATGCCCGCACACTTGAGTAAAATTGACCAGCGTATGTTCGAAGCATTTAATATAAATCATAAAAATGTCAAGAATTCATTTACTTAGCAATGAAGTGCAAATCCTGATGCAGAAACGAACGAAACTTGTATGCTTTTACAACACTACTCTGCAGAAGCCAGCTGCACATACTCCCAAAAATCACGCTAACCCACTCATCTTCATGCATTGATTTGCTCAGCCATAAAAACATTTATCTATAGTTTCCACTTAAATGCACAAAACGTAAAGGACAAACACGCGTGTTAAATAAAAGTGCCACAAGCATTTGGACATGCCTGGCCACTTTGCGACGCCAATGCATATTTATTTATATAAGAAACGGTAGAATTTTCCCAAAAAGCATATGCATGTAAGGCGTCAGCAATACGAAAAAAAACTCGTATGTATATACGTAGGTATATACTGGTCAAATTCATACTACCAATGCGCCACCACTCCACCTTGCACACCAACCATAAATGTGCGCATAAATCATAAACAAATAATGAGCTATGCCAATCGATTCTTGGTTCTGCCGGCGGGTGCATGGTGATGCTTGAATGCTTGCCGAATGGGGTGTGTGACACGTTCATAAAGGGATTAGCATCTCCGCAATATGCTCAGTGCACCGATTACACCCGTTTAATAGCTTCGATGGCTGGTTATTTATTAAATACATATTTAGGTGTATCAAATTATTATCGCAACAACGAGATCTAGGTCATTTGTAACTTGTATTTTTATGTAAAGCACGGACACGGGCGCGAACGCACGCGGCAGCCACGATAAGCTGGCGATTATTTACAGATTTGTGGTTTGCCTATGTACACACTTCCAACACATTTATGAATTATATTATATACGTATATGTATGTATATTTGTATGTACTTACATTGAAATTAAGCTGCTCTGTGCTGAAATCGCAGATTTTTTTAAAATTGCGGTTTATTTTTTCACTTAACGGCATTCAACAGTTACACTTTTATTGACTTGTCAAAGTGCAGCGTTGCCAATGGTGAAGTTGATGAAGGTTAGCTTAGGCGGTTACCAGACGGTTTCGTTTAATTAAGCTGTGTTTAAAATATGCAGCTTTAACTAAAAAAAAAAATGAAAATGCGATTAAAAAATAAATAAAAATAAATAAATAAATGAAATTAATTTTACCTATCGCTTATGCGAAAACTTCATTGGAGAAGTTTAAGAGGACAACAATTCTCAACAAATTTCAACTGATCACATAAGATAACTGCGCAACTGAAATGTGTAAAGTAAAATATAAAAAATCATAAACCAATATTGAAATTAGATAAAAAAAAGCACAAAAATTAAATACTTCAACTCAGTTAAAACTGACCCAAAACAAGAAAAAATATTATTGATTCCGATCGTTCAGTTTGTATGGCAGCTATAGTGGTCCGATATCGTCAGTTCCGACAAATGAGTAGCTTCTGGAAAGGAAATGACGTCTACAAAATTTCATATCGATAACTCAAAAACGTATGTACTGACAGAGAGATGGACAGATACATACATACGTACAGGGCAAAATTTACTCAACCCGTCATGCTAATCATTTACATAAATATCTTTTATGGGATCTCTGACGTTTCCTTGTGTTACAAAATTTGAGGCAAACTTAGAAAAAAACTTATATATAGAGTTAACGTTGTGGAAACCGAATACAGGGATTGTCCGGAAAATAATTGATCCGGCATCCCAACGCCCCCTCAACCGTGCTACAGCCCAGATGTGCCCTCCGGACTTTTTTATTTCCTTGTCTGAAAAGGCCGATGAAAGGGGATCCAAGCAGCATGCACCGCGGCTCTCAAGGTTATTCCGGTGTGTGTCTTCAATGCTTGGAAATCGCACTGGCCTCGCTGCATCGAGGCAGAAGGGGCCTGTTTTGAAAGATTTTAACAAATTGTAACTATTGATTCAACACAATTTTTTAAACCGACTCAGTCCTATTACTTTCCGGCCAAACCCTATATGCATCTGGCCAATGACAATGACTAGAAGACGAATTTCTATCTCTCTAGCAGTATACTCAAGATGACAGCAGCTTCCACGGGATTAGACCATGGCGAGTTAGGGTTAGCTCCCGGATATGCCGAAGGCTCGCCTGCTGCCTTCAAGTCGTCACAGTGCTCTTTCGCGTCCAATATGTGGTTTTATGTACAAAGAGCTCTTCGCGTGTATGTGTGTCAGTGAATCTTATATAAATGTCACATTGTTGACAGCCGTTGGACGTGTGGCATACGCTCATGAATGCTTAAATGAGTTTGCGTCAGCTGAGCGGTGGTTGAGGGGTCACGCCACTGCACCCTTCCAAAAAGTTACACGCGTCTACAGCATCATAATGCTTGTAAGTGAATTCGTGCGTCCGTCCGTTCGGCCACCCACTGGCGCTGCATGAGTTCTCACATCAAAAACAAAGAGCATAAATGCCAGATTTCAATTTGTGCACCAAAAGTGTTTATGAGTTTTTCACAAAAATAACAACAGCAGCAACAACCACACGCCACAAGGGCGATTGTTGTTGGAGAAAGAAAAGATTGGCTTTTTAACTGTTACAGTGTCAATAGCCAAGCGCAAACGTGCAACCACCAACAACACCCACCACCACAGCAGCGCCGCCCCAGCCGCATTCGTTGCGCCTCGACGGGTGTAAAGTTCATCATTTAAGGCGTTAAATAGCCGAATACAAAGCGACGACTTGTTTGCAGCGCTCTAAGTATGCCTCGGTGTTTGCCGCCCCCTTGGGAAATTTTACAGCTTTATTTGTTGTTTGCAGTACGCTGCCGCACGTTACTGTAGCTCTGGTTGTTGCTTTTGTTGCTTTGTAAATTTTGTTGACTTTTGCGCTGTAAATACGAGGCATTTAATTTGTTGTTTGTTCAATGGCGGTTGCTTTTGTTGCTATTGTTTGTTGTTGTTGTGTGTGTATTGGTGCAATTTTCGCTTGTAATATGACATGATGGAATCATCAAAATCGCATTAAACGCGGCGTGTAAATTATACGCTTTATTAAATGACTCGACAACAATACCAACAGTATTGAAGCGAAAGTACCGTAAAAGGATTTACGCGCTTTACAGAGGCCTTAAAATTGAAACGAGAGATGTTTAAATATGCGGCTGTGATATGAGATCAGCGTAAAATTAGACTTAAAATGCAAATGAGGTTAAGGTTTAATAGTGTAGACTCCTGTTGGGTGTGCCGCACTAAGACTTTGTGTGTTCCTTTAAGGTCTAAGGTTTGTTGATTTTTTCGTAGGCTCTTCTTGAAAATTTCGATGCAACACATCCGCGGGTAGTCTTCTGCTTATTTCTTAAAGGCTGGTTATACACGAATGACGCAGAAAAATGTCCGAGGCGTTAGATGAAACTGATGGCCACAGGACTTTATATAGTTTATAGTTCAAAGTACACCCTTCTATTGTTTCGTTCCTCCAAAAAGTGGCTAACCTTGACCAAAAGACTGAACTAGTAACAGGTGGGAAGTGTTTTACATCTTATTCTGAAGAAAAATCTGCCCGAGTATACTTATCTGTTAACTCACAAATTCTATTAGATATTGTACCAAAGCTTTCTCCAGATGTGAAAAAAGAAAGAATCTATTAATGGGAATCGTTCGGAATGAAATCTACGAATTTTCTCTTCTATTCAGAGAGGCTTCAGTTCGTGTGGTATCGACCCTTTTTCCCCATATTACAATTTACCAACCAGACTTCAAACGCAATAGACGACAGACAGCAATTGAACGCCATTCACAGTCTCCGTCCCTCACTGACTGCCTCCGAATAAATGGCGTCCATGAATTCAAACTGCCACCCATTGCAGATGAAAAGCTCGAATTTCCTCGCGAATCTAAGGAGACTCCTGCTCAACTTCGTTCTGGAAATTGAAGCTGGTTAATAAGAGATGATGCGACGTATTGTATGTGCGTCTCACAATGAGTTCCAGCATAACACTAACTACCTCTTTGCATGCACTTTGAAACCGACTCATCTGAACCGAAACAGCACGTTTTCTGAGCCTTCCATTAAATGAGTTTGATGACGATAGACTTACACCTTGCTACCCACACAAGATGTGGATAACAATATTTGAAAGCGTTCAAAGATCCGACGTCCGTGGGAAATAATGTTGAGACCCTTTCTGATACCTTAAATTCTTCTCTGCTTGCGGCCTCTTCACTTTTGTAACTTTCAATGAAGGCTTTGCCTACATTCACCGAAATGGTCTGAGAGTTTACTCTTCCCAGGACCATCAACTTAACAGCTTTTCTGAAAATTGTTTCGAAAATCTCCCCTGAAGCTGCAACAACAAATTGTAATAGAATTATAAAAGTCAAAGGTTTTGGTGAGGGAGAAATTATTTAGGTACATCCTGAAGCCATGTTCTTCAACTCAGCCGCGAACACAAGTGAAAAAACATTAAAGAACAATATTTAATAGGGTAAAAAATGTAGACATAAAAGAAAAATGACTGCCAGGCCACGTGATAATAATTTGTATTCATTAAAACTGCTAGACGCCGCCACAGGCCGCAGACGGCTTGCTGAGAGAAGAAGAATGAAAATGGGAGGCGAGAATAGGAGATGCGTTGCACTTACTGCCTACAACTTAGTAATAATAAAAAAAAGACCTACTGAGACGGAGCCCATAGCACGTTATGGGCAATTTATGATTTTTAATAATAAAAAGGTGCGAAGAAGTTACAGCACAATGGCGCTAAATTACAAATCTATTTAAAGCAGTTGAGCGCAAAGCAACCTAATCCTTTCCCCCCTCCACGACTGTAGATGTATTCATAAAGTCGCTTAATCCCGCTTTCGTCAACTCATCATCGTCCATCACCGAAGCGCGTTCCATCCATCACCAGCTGTCAACGCAGACACTTTTATTGGACAAAATTTTACAGAAATAAACCACAGCTGTCTAGATGCGACGCAGGTGTAACGGTAAAAAGCGCCTAAAATGCCACTAAGCCTTTAATGAGATGTGCAGCAGAGCGCCGTTCAAAAGCAGGAGTGAAGAGAAACCACCCTTTTAGCAGCGTAACCACAAAAACTAAAAACAAAAAGTATAAACAGCAAACCAAAGCAACAACTTAATTAGCCGCCAGCAGCAACAAAATGACGAAGAAAAGCGAAAAAAAGGATAAACGAGCGGGCCAACGCCTGCGTAAAGGGTGGCCGAGCACGTGAGTGGGGGAAAGTACTCAGAGCGTTTGGCAAAATGGCACATTTCATGTGTAAAATTAAAGGCCTGCATGAGTGGCGCTCCATTCCACGCTACGTAACTTGTTGTTTTGCGGTTTGACCGCCAACCCCCAAGTGCTGTTGCCCGAGCAGGTGTGAGCTGGCAGACACTTGCTCACTACTTCTCCATGCACCGATCTATTATCTCTTTCACACTCACAGTTATATTCCCAGCGCACAAGGGAAATTTTTCATACGCTTTTGAAGGTGAATTTCCCCTGCTTTTTGAACGCGTCTTGTTGAGGGTTTGTGGTGATTTTTCTTAAGTTTAGTGAATTGATTGATTGATGACTGCTGTTGGTTTCGGTGGAATGAACTTAAAATTAAGCAAAATAAAATAAAAATTATGTACATATTTTGGAGACTCAAAATACGCTGATTTTGTTGTTMTTATTATTATTGTGTTGTTGTAACGATTATCCAAACCATGCTTGGGAGAAATAATAAGTCAACTATCATCGAAGTCACTTGACTGTGGGCTAACGAGCTGTTTCGACGCGTTCGGACTATATCATACGGGGACTCATTGCAAATTCTTGATAACTACCATTCCCTGGGATGCTACAATGCCCAGGACGAAAGTTGTTGTACTGGGATCATTCTTGTTTCACACGGCAACACGAGCTGCTGTTCTGCAATAGGTGGTGCTTAGATTTCGAGTAATTGGCGTTATGTGCCTGTTGGAAGTCGGTCGCGTCTGCAACTTGGTCTGTATCCAGTTGGTCAACATGTTGAAAGAATGGAGAGGAGTATGTTCTGCTTCTTTACAGTAGATGTTCAATGGGAGACGCCTTGTTGTGGTCCGGTACCGTGTTCTGGCAGGTCTATATCTTCTCTATCTCAGTCTTTTCTGTCGGAATTTTGACATCATCGACGGAAAGTCTCCTTCGTCCAGGAATGCAGAAACTGCTTACCTTGCATAGGTAGCTGCTGTGTCGTGAGGCGAACAGTAAAGCCTGTATGTTGTAAGATATTTTAGAACCACTGGGGTCGAAGCCGAGTTTTTGAAATTTTACTTTCACCTCTGATAAGCTTCTTTCAAGGATACTATTATTTTATCAAGCTTCTATTTATTTATGTAGACGGAAATTGATTCATGTTTCCAAGCTATCTCATATTGATCCTTCGACTTGAGGTTGACAACGATTCTCATCGTCCGAGAATAATACTTTGCATCGCTTTCGTTTTAAAACACATACCATGGAAGACACTTTTTATGATTTGGAAGTAAAAAAAAAACTTACCGATCGAACACCGAAATAACAGCTCTTAGCCGGATAAGATGCAGGTCAATTCCGGTGACATAGAACGGTAAGTCGTGGCTCGGACGTCAAGGACGCCGATTTAAAACGTCATTAGAAAGGCTGGTTTCTCTTATGACCTTCTTGAAGTAGCTTCGATGTATTAGTAAGTTCGGTGAAATAACTCCGATGAGATCCGAAATTTTACGACCTAGAACGCATTTAAGATTTACTTGTGAATGGCTCAGTGAGTGAGTTAGTTGTAATTTGAGCACCTTCACGATCTCTCTTAGACTTCGCATAACATACGGGGTCCAAAACGATATTGATTGTAGGTCGATAATATTGATTGTGGATCAAGAATTTTCATTGTAGATCGAGAATATTGATCGTGTCTTGCATAGCTTTTGTAGAGCCTCTGTAAAGAAAGCAGCACTTAGTTGGAAAGTTTATTTTCAAATTCTCACACCCATTTCGAGTTTTACCTCGTTCCGCGTTGTGTTTTTGCGCATGCGGGTATATTTTGTTAAAGAAATTGATTGTTGTAATTCAAATTCTTGAATCTCTTTCGTATATACTCATCGAAATAACGGTGTTTCACAAGTTTTCTTTCGATTTCTCGTTTACTCTCGCCCTCAAATCACTTTCGCGGTTCAATTAAGCCAAAGTCTGTTGCGTAGCTTTAAAATCGGTAAATGAAATTATGCATAATCACAAATATTTATTTTGAATTTTAAAAACACATATTTCACAGGAGCTTATATAAACCATACCAACTGCCATTTTTTGTTTAAATTTTTATTAATTTTTTCTCGTTAATTATATAGTTAATTATATTATTGCTATTTGAGTTTATGTTTATCGAATTTATTATATGTAACGGTATTTTGTTTTAGTAATTTTAACCTATTTATTTCCTTTGTTGTATTTGTAGAATTCGCATAGTCTGGTTAGCGCCTTAAAACTACTGATTACAAAACTAATTTAAAAGTGTTTTTGTTTTTTTTTTTCTTTTAAATATTAAAATTTTTTAACTACAAACTAATGTGTATAAAAAAAATCAGATATTGCCGCGAACAGCGGAAAATATAATTTTGCTGTTCGGTTTTCATATAAGAAAAATACATTTTTTATTTATATGTATGTATATTAGAGGGTGACTTGAAAAACTAGCCACAGAGGAAAGAAAGAAATTTGTAAAACTCACAAAATTAGAGATGTATATATTGTTGTAAATAAATAAATGATTTCGACTAAAAAATTAGTTCGAAAAATATTTGAAAAAATCAAAGTAAGGTTTGTAAAGTTTAAAATAGAAAGCAAACTTGGGAAGACCGCAGATCGTAATTCATGCACTGTGTGCAATTATTACTTTTTAATTAAAAAAAAAATTTTTTTGCAAAATGTAAAGAATTTTAAAATTTTATATTAAGAAATGTAAGAACAAAGAATAGATTCAAATTACAAGTCCAAAGGATTCTATGTAAAAATAAAAGACTAAGAGAATTAAAAAAGAAAAAGCGAAAAAATATTAAATTAAATGAAACCTGAAAA